AAAGGTAAAGGGTTAAGTCTAGCCGTGTCCACCTCTGGGGTGGTGGTGTTCATCTCCATTTCTAAGCCAAAGAGCCAGCATTGTCCATAGACAACTCCAAGGTCATGTGGCCAGCATGACTGCATGGAGCACCATTACCTTCCCACCAAGACGGTATCTATTGATCTACTCATATCAAACACTAAAAACCACTAATTTGAAATCACTCAATACACTTCACCTGGATGAGGACACTAAATGTTGCTCAATCATTAATTAAAATGGAGACTACAGTCAAGGAACCAAAAAATAAATAAATACTGGGACTTTGAAAGGCAACTATGAAGGAACTAGAGAAGATATTAAATAAAAAAAATGGCATTATTGAGTATTGAAGTTAGGATTCTCCATGCCATCATATTTCTAACTTCTATGTATAGTTGTGAAAGCTGGACAATGAACAAATCTGATGATAGGAAGAAAATAAAAAAATGGAAATGTGGTGCAATAGAATAGTTTCACAGATATTGCGGGCTGCTAAAGTGATAGATTTGAACCGTGGTCTCCAAAGCCCTAGTCCAACACTCATAGAATCATAGAAGCATAGAGTTGGAAGAGACCTCATGGGCCATCCAGCCCAACTCAGACCTCTTCACCATACTGGCTCCCATTCATGTCCATTTTTTGCTAGTTTTGGATATTATATGCTTTAATGGGGTGGCAGACGATGCTATTTGCTGTTCTATCTCAGGCAGCAATATTGTATGTTCCAAAAAAAATGAGACTGATTTGAAATTGCTGTATCTCAGCAACAATGAGCCACCCATAAATGAAACACTTACTCTTCAAAGGGGGAGGGGGCAGAGTTTTACATAATTATTGCTAGGTACCTCTCCCAGCACACAAACAGCTCCTAGCCTCAGTTATTCACAAGATGGTGACCCCACAACGTAAGATTTTTTTTTGTGTTCTGCTGTATGGATAACATTGAGTCAATAGTTGAATTATTTCCAAATGACTCTTAAGTGCCTTCTTCTGCTGAAATGACCACTGTCGTGATTCTAAGGGGCGTTTCAAAATGATGAACCCAATTTTAAAGCAGTATATTTCATGTGGCAACATGTTACAAATGCACAAAATGTTACAAACCATTTAATGAATTATGAAATTATTAAGTTTTAGTAACAATTTTGAGCCAAAAATAAATCTAAAAAATAACTCCTCAAATGGAGAGTATCTCATTAGGCCTTATGTTGTGGTGGCACAAAAATATGGTCTTTTACGTATTTCCACAAAAAAGGCACAAGATGCTTTGTATAGTACAGCAGGTGGAGGACACATTGAACATTTATAAAATGGTTAGGAAACTATGATACTTGATAACTCATTAAGTTGCTTGTAACCTTTTGTGTAATTATAATATGTTGCCATCATGAAATAAACTGCACTGAAATTTGGTCCATCATTTTGAAACACTGTATTTTAAGATGGCCCTAATTCTACATCCATTCTGCTGTTTGAATGTCTGCACCACCAGAAGACAAGTGTAACGCTGAAAAGCTGAGCAAATGAAATTTGTAGCCACCGTGGAGTGAGGAAGAATGACAGACTGGGAATAGCAATGCTTATTTTGCATTTATGGGGTGACAAAGTTGGTAATTTGCAATAGATCCGAAGGAGTTAAATGCCTTGTGGGGCAATGGTATAATCTTTATTTGCTCCTCTACCACCACAACTGAGTTCTGTGTTTAAACTTGATTGTATTGGCACCTGCACTGTGAGGAGGATGCTGGGATGGACTTCCTTTGTCACTTATAATGGCTCATCATTATTGTTCTAACATGCTTTTAAAAAGAATAGAAGGGTGGTGGGGGGAACCCACAAACCTTAATCTTCCCCTTGGTGCCAGTGACAGCGACAATGGTGAGATAGTTTGTTTTTCTCCACCACTTCTCCTCTTACTCTCTCCCTTCACCTCCCATTGTCCCTCTTGCCACAATACTGGGTCATGGCACGGCTGGTTCCGGGGCAGTTTCTTGTACTGTATTGCCCTTTGCTTGATTGTTTAAATCTTTCTTATTCAACTGTTTCTGAAGATTTACATTTTTAATGGCTCATTTATGTAATCCCATAAATAGAGTAGCAGAAAAAGCATCCCACACACAAATGAGCGAAGGGGGAGGGGGGCTAGAAGGGGGGGAAGCTGCTTGCACAGGTCACTGGGGGTCTCAGCTGTGTAGGCCTTGATTGGTATCAACCCTCCTACCCCTGTGGCAACCGACTTAAGACCACCCAGTCAGGCACCAACGGTGCATTACCAAGGAAGAGGAGGATGGACAGTCGTTCTTTAGTCTCTCCCATTTATAGAGTTCTCTGAGAAGCCTCATTTACCTTATTGCTTTGACAGCTGCATGTCTCATTCCAAAAAAAGGGGGAAAAGTTGCCCATGATTAGCTTGCTTTTCTGCTAGCAAGCAGCTGATGTTGTCAGGGTTTCACTGACAACACTGTGTCCCGTCCCCCCCGCGGCTTCCACTCTCCCTGTTCCTTAACCAGTTTTTTCCTAAGACCTATATATTCCCTTCTAAAGAGGCTGTGAATTCAACCACCTGCCCTGAAGATTCTGCATGACATCCTAGGCAGTCAAATAAAAACGAAATGTATTTGATGGTGACCCCCACTTTCCATTCTGCTCGCAACCTCTTCCTGCTCTGTCTCTAAACACAAAGGCTTGGAGACGAAGAAATAAAGGAATTATATTTTATCAGGGACTGTGTGAGAGAGACAACAAATGGCAACTTGATGGAGATACTTTACCTTTAATTATTTCTTCCATTGACAACACAGCCTTGTCTCTGCTTCAGACAGTAGTGTTTTGTTCTGCTCGTTTACCTTTGTGAATCACAACACTAGTTGGTCTATATCTCAAAACATACCAAGGCTTCAGAGCAAAGCATTCAGCAACAAGATTTAATGATTGATTGGATGGCATAAATAAACTTCTTAAGACTTATTTGTATTGACGGAAATTTAAGATGTATTCTAGAGCATTGTGATTGTGTATTCCAAATATAGTGTTGGACAGTGCCCACTTCCATGAATGAGGAGGCACTATACAGATGCTTGTTTTTATTAAAAGAGAACTGAAAATGGGCAAAACAATTCTACATTCAGATTTTGAGTATTTTGTTGGCAAGTTTTCCAACCCATCCTACACCCCTTCAGATTCACAGCAGCATAGCAGAAATGAGGAGGTGAGGTTCATCTTCGGCTCATTGTGGTCTGTCATTTGAGACTGAGAATTCCCAAAAGCTTCAATCTGCATATTGAATGGCAAACAGCTGTCCAAATCATAATCCAAAATAGTTGGAGGAGCAGAAGTTCCCCACCATATAGACCATGCATTAGAAAAAGCTGGGAACTGGATGTGAAACCAGTTACACTGGAAAGCTTAGTTGCACTGGTATTCTAAAGGCCAGAACCTGGGTACTTTAGGGACTACATTTTCCCATGACTACCTCTATCTCTTGCCCTAGAATGGGACCCCAATCTACTTTGACTGAAGTTCAGTAGATGGGAATGACAAGCAGGTTTAAAATCATATATGCTGCAATTCAAGATGAAATCATAAAAGGCTTTCTTACCAACTCGACACTGGAATGAAACCAACACCAGTGTCAACTTAGTTCCCACAGGGAGGGCATTCAACGAACAGAGTTCCACATTCTTAGTGTTTTGATCCCACTGGTCAGACATGTCAAAGGATTCTTCTTGCCTTAATAATTGTTGTGTGTGCGGATCTACAAGGATTTTCTAATTATGTGGGTGAATACAATGTTATGGGGAGAGAAGAGGCAAAATAAAGGCATTGCCCCTGCAATAAGAATTCTGCTTTCCCTCCCATCACAAATTTCATTCAGTTACCAAATTTCTAGAATTGCAGAGACATTGAAAATTGGTCACACCTAGAACTCTCCCATTTGCAGTGCTCATATTCTCTTGGTTTGCCTTCCCCATTTCTTTAGATGCCCATACTATATTTCAAAATGCTAAAGTTTTAAATTACTGCAGTACTGTAAGTTTGTGAAGTAAAATTTTGCGGAGGGGGGCAAATTCCTATTAGGATAGCAAATGCTCTCATTTTGCCTTCTTCCCTCCCTCCACAGCTTCACTCCTGGATGACTATCATACAGAAAAACATTTCTCAGGCTGATTTAGAGAGTTCTACTGAATTCAATGGGACAATTCAGAACACACATGTAGGCTTACATTACAAAAGCTGCTTTAATCTTTCTCCTATATTTCTGTCAACAACTAACAAGATGCTAAAGTCTATTATTTTTCACAGATTTTCCCTATGTAGAACTTTGTAGCCTTTTTACCAGCCTTCCTGAGAATAATTGTTTTCCCCTGGCCCTGTTCTTTGCCATTTTGAATGTCAACCTAGAACATTTTTCATTTTATTCATCTGATCTCTTTTATTCCAAACTTTCTGCCCACCCTTCCCCTAAGGCTAAGTATTTGATGCTCTGAACAGATAACTGATCATTGTTCAAGCTGAAGATTGATTTACATGAAAGAGGGGCCTGTATGCGAATTCAGCTGACTTGCTAGTATGCACTGAAGCCAAAACAGGACATGCACTTTTTTCATGTCAGGAGTGGCTTGAAAAACCGCAAGTAACTTCTAGTGTGAGAGAATTGACTGTTTGCAAGGGCGTTGCCCAGGGGACACCCAAATGTTTTACCATCCTGTGGGAGACTTCTCTCATGTCCCCAGATGAGAAACTGGAGCTCACAAGTGGGCGCTCACCCCACTCCCTGGATTCGAACCACCGACCTTTTGGTCAGCAGTTCTGCCAGCACAAGGGTTTAACCCATTGAACCACCGGGGGTTCCTAGTACATGCACTAAACTTGTGATAAACCGAAGACATGAGTGTTTATGACTGGTAATTAAGAATTTCTATTCATCAAATTATTTTGTTTCACATTTAAACACTTTTACATAATACTTGACACAATTTTAGTATCACAGCTTAGGTTTAATATCAACTCAGAAAAACCACCCAAATAAATGTTGTCTAAAGACTTACATGTCAATGTTTCCATAGAACTTAGGAACTTCAAAGATACGTTAAGTCATCAGCAGATTCAGGATTCACAAAGAACCTAACCAATAAAACTACTAAAAAGACAGTGATCAAAATTTAAGTGGCCATTCCCTGTATTGTTTCACAATTTAAGTAACAACATGTGGTCAACTTTATATCACAGACACTCCTGATGCCCACTGTTTTGCACAGAGATGTCGAAGTACTTTTAGTGACTTAAGAGACATTACCATCTATACAGAGAGAAATGAAATAAAAGCCAATTTTAGATTTCCCAATCTCCAAGTAATAACAAATCACTGCTTGTTTAATTTGTTGGAAAATACTTTTGTATTGAAACAGATTGTATGGCTGATAATATTCTGTGCATTTAAATAAAGAAACTATTGCTTTTGCCAAGTCCTGTATCGTAAGAGTGCCATTGTGCACCACTGTGGACCACATGTCCCCTATGTTTAGTAACATACATTAAATCAATTTGCATGTATTTAAATAATCTGTAATATTCAGGTATATGTCAGATTATGAGCCTAAAATGCAGCTATGTGAGCACAATGGAAGTTTTCTGTACCTACAGGACAAAATAAAATTAAAAGCAAAGATCTTTACAAACCAAGTAATTTATCATTTACAGACTATGCATCCATGTATGCTACTATAAAAGATAATGTTTCTGGAAGACAGGTACAAGCATGTTACAACAATCCAAAGAAAGGACAAAAAAGCTGAACTGGAAGAATGTGAGTATGTGTTGGGGGCAGGGGGAAAACAAACACGTCATCAATTTCTTCTTAAGTACACAAGAACTCTTCAGGGAATAATCACAAGGAGCAGGCTTGCTGTCTTCTAGAAACCTGCTTTTAACATAGACATCTGTAGTGAAGAATGCTCTCTAGTTGGAAGATAAAGAAACATCGCCCCCATGGTTCATTGTTTAATTACATACTTGGCTTGGAATGGCCTGCTTTTCTCCTCACTTATTTGATTGCTTTTCATACTTCTCCTTTGTGTTCTGCCTTCTGTTCCTGTTTCGATGCCTAGGAGGGGAAGAGCTAACTCTTCTCCTAGACCGAAAGCTGGGTGTATAAGGATATGATCTGTGCCTCTTTGGTTTGGTTTCTTCTCCGCTCTGCTTTGGCTCAGATTCCTTATCATCTTCCTGATTCTTTTGTCCCTGGTCTTGCTCTTTTGAGGAGTGCAATGTGTTCTTAATAGTATTAATAAGAAACCTTTTATTTGTGCTGGCAAGAGGGCACTTCATCCTGCAGGAAAAACAACAACATATAAATAGGTTAATGCAAAAAATAAGTAAATAAATAAAGACCATGAATATCTAAATGAGATAGTTCAATTTGCCGTGTTTTGGCTTTCCTTGTATGCCACCTAGTGTAGACTTGCAGTATGGAAAGAAACAGCCAAGATGTGTACACTTTCTCGCAGGCCTAAAAGCAACTATTTAAGGGGACGTTACATAATGTAGCCATTTTTTGTGGCATGTAGACAAATACAATTATGGTTACACATGGTTTACAACTATGGTAAATAATTGTGTAGTGTTCCACTTGCTTGGCTGGGGCAAGAACTTGCCATTTTAAATAAAGGGAGGACCACAGACCAGTGGTGGCATACATTTTAGCCTACAGAAAGTCTCAGGTTCATCTCCTGATTCCTCCAGCAGGGCTAAGAGGGATCTCTAGAAGTCACTGTGAGTCAAAGCAGATGAGGCTAGATGGACCAGAAACTTGATAGAAATGAAAACTCCATATATTTGCACTTAAGCAACAATGAGCTTTGTTTAGAAGTAGGTCTTCTTTGGGGGGGGGGGGGTCTTGTTTTCCAAGAGGTTTTAAACAGCTTTCCAAGAGGTTTTAAACAGAAGAGTAAATAAACATGGTATTCTGAAATGGCTAAAGTATGAAGTTATCCACATTCCATAGCACTAAGCAGTTGTCAGATATTAAAAGGCATATTTTGTGCATCATTTGAGCAATTCTGATATAAGCAGGGTCCCGCTAATGTTGAACCTGTAAGTACTATAATAATAATAATAATAATAATAATAATAATAATAATAATAATAATACACTTTATTTATTTTCTGCCCTTCTCCCCTAGGGGACTCAGAGCGGATTACAGCATTTAGATACATAGACAAACATTCAATGCCTTTACAATAATATACAATGACACACAAACACAAATAAAGGCAGAGGCTTCTCTTGCATTGTCACCTCCTGGAGCCTGCATTGTCACCTCATGGTTGTGTGGCCGGCAAGATGGCTTGGAGTGTCTCTTTGCCTACCTGCCTGCCTACCTCACTACCACCTCTTCATTCTCAGAAATAAAACCATTTGGGAAAAGGAAAGAAATAGGTAGCATTGGGTATAATGGAAGCCCTGGCAAATTTGGCTTCCATTTTGGGTCTCCTATTTTTTGTGTGCTTATGTTGGTTCTGACCTATGGCCTATGACAATTCTTATTCTATGAATAAGAACTCTCCTAAAACTTCTCTTATTAACAGCCCTCTCTACTCCTACAATCTTTACTGAGTCAATGCACTTGTAATATAGCAGTCTGCTTTCCCTACTTCTTCTGTATTTTCTAATAAATCATATTTTATCATTATATGTATGACAGCGGGATCTACAAGTCCAATAATTCGTGGTAAACAAAATCAATTTTGTTGGCCCCTCCAAAAACAAACTTTGTTAGCACTTCCATGAATGCCTTTCTTGTCCCATAAGAGCTTGAGAGTGCAAGAATTTAAAGGGGAGGTGGCAGAGTCAGACACCTTGAGTGATGAATGCCAGGATATCTAAGCATGCTTGGTTGCTATATTAGTTTAAATAACAGAGAAACATTTTATTATATTATTATTTATTTATTTCTATCCTGTTTTTCTCCCAGATCGGAACTCAAAGCGGTGAACAACATATAAACAAAACATTACAACCATAAAAAATTAACATAGTCACCAAACCACAGTATCTCATGAAAAGCTATAAAACCCACAACAACATAATAAATAACATTGTGAAAAAATATGTCTAGATTCCAAGAGTGTGCTTAAGAAAAATGCCCTATCAGCAGACCTAGAAGGGCCTGATTCCCTGAATGCTCTCACAGCACTTGCAATAAGAAACTCTCTTTCACTCTCTGTCTTCCCTGCATCCTGCTGAATTACCAGAAACTCTGTTCTGGAGGTATTGTCCAATTTTCCATTCCAGATACTGAAGACACCCAGAGGCTGCGGGAATGTATGGGAGAAATGGGTTTTCCTAGATAGGCCTTCTGTTAGTACCTCATTGGTTCTGGATAAAATATTTAAAACCAGTGTGCTGTATAAAGAGATGCTGCAGATAATAAACTACGAGCAACACTACATAGGCTCATTAAAGTCACTTTTCCAAATAAAACCGTAAGCATTAAGGTAATACATGCTCAATTCATCATTTGTATCTCTAACAGCCTCAATCTCATTACTCACTGAAAAACGGAAACTGTTACTTTATTAGAGCAATTGTGTTATCATCCATTTTATTGAATTCTTGCACATGTGCCTAACAGGAATTGCTACCACTAGATAGGTTAGGTCCAATGAATTGATGGTTAAATGGCAAGACTAAGGCAATGGGTCTAACAACATCACTTAGGTCTCTAAAATCATTCTTACTTTTCCAGTGAAGCCTACCCACTCCAAATGTATTTAAGGATGTTATCCCATGGGTGGGAGGGAAGCTGGGGCAAACGTTTGGAAGAGTAGGGACTCGTCTTACTCCAGAAAGGTCCATATTTGGGGATGGCCAGCCTTCCCACGTCCTTCCCACATATTCTTCCTGCTTTCCTTTGCTTCCCCACTGTTTCTTCAATCCTGAAAATGGAGTCTTCTCTCTATTTTCACACCCTGGCAAGACGGATTCCCATGGACTGCGTGATGGGATTGGCTCCCTGGGACTGTTTTTCCAGCGTGAGACAACAGAGAGAAAAGGAGGGGGCACTTGCATGGAATAAGGTTCTAAGACTGCATCCTCAGCCATTATTTCTTTAAGCTGTTTATATTTTAGAAGAGCAGCAATTTCATTTTATCTGAATAACTTACCAGCCCATGGCCCCCATAGTTTCTGCTCTTGTTTTCCCACGCTTGGCCTCTGTGAGAAGTTCTTCCACTGCTTTCCTAAATATAAAAATGAGAAAAGCGTTTCATTTTATCAATTTTGAATGTTCTTGAAATATGGGCACATTTACTTATTTCTGTTGTTCATGAAGAACACTAATGCAAACTACTGACCCATCCCAGGCTCATTAAAGTCACTTTCCCAAATAAAACTGTAAGCATTAAGGCAATGCATACTCAATTCATCATTTGTATCTCTAACAGCCTCAATCTCATGACTCACTGAGCAAATACAGAAGTTAATTGAAAAGGGGATTGATGTCGATTGATCCGGAATGGAAATAATACTGGCACCAATGCAAATGTGTGAAAAGGTGATGTCACTCCAATTTGACTTTTAACAAAACTTATTTTGAAATTAAAACACTGCAGCATTACATTTTCAATCTAGATCTATTAACTTTATTTTAATTGCTGGCGCCCTGTTAACTGTAAATGGAAAAATAAAATACAGGCAATAAATGATAATTACAAATGCTCAGACTTTGGGTTTTTAAGAAAATTACATTTGGGGAAACCCTCTCAACTGTTCAGTAACAAACGATGTAAATTATGTTTGAATTCTAGAGACCTGTGAAATTTTAATGGCCTCATATAGAAAGCTAAAATTTTGCTAATATGGGTAAGTAGAGGCAGGGTTGTAGCCAGAAAAAAATTTCGGGGAGGCTTGAAAATTTCGGAGGGGGGCAGTTGAAACCTGCCTCCTAGCTCACGCTGAAGCAAAGAGCACAGCAGGGGGCAGAACAGCCTTCAATAGCCTGCAGCTCCGCCCCTGTCAACCACCTCCACCAAGTCTGGCCTCCTTAATGAGAGCATTCAACACCCCCCCCCCCAACTTGGTTGCTTCGCTACATCGTCTATTGCTGCAAGTAATGACAGTGTGAATAAATTGTCAATATTTGCTTGAGATAGTGCTTGCAGTTCTGGAGGGACTCTTAATTTTTTGCGTCTCATAGACTTAGCATGGGGATTTGGTTAACCAGTTAAAATTCATGAGTAAACCAGTTTTTTTTTAACCTGAAAAATTTCGGGGGGGGGGGGGTTGAACCCCTAACTCCCCCCCCCCCCAAGCTACAGGCCTGACTAGAGGGGTATTTACCGGATTACAATTTTACCACAGAACAGTCACATATTTTCTCACCAAGAATGGATGTATGTGTTACTACACTAAAATCGCGAATGTAAAATTTTCATCCAGATATTATATTATATCTGTGTATGGACTGATAATCTCCCATAGGAGCCTGCAAGTTCAGCTTATAGATAAAAATAGTCACAGTACATAACAATTCAAGAGCCAGCGTGTTGTTGTTATTATGGTGAAATCAAAACGTGCTTAACAGACATTGTTACTTTTGATCTTTAAGTTGTATTTTATCTTTTCAAGAGCAGTTTTAAATTTTAATATTGTCCATAGTTTAACCCCATTTTAATGTTGACTTTTTGTATTTTTTAGCTGTTTTTTACATTGTGAATCATCTTGAGTCCCAATTTTGGGAGAACATAGGGATAGAAATACATGAATAAAGAATAGATGTGCTAAAAATACCCAGTACTGAAAAGATGCAAAATATTATTTTAGCAAAAGCATTAAGTAAACAAAAATAGGCTGTCACATTGGTTGCATATATATTAATCCCTCATGTCTAGATAAATTCTGGTGTTGGATGGAGTCCATTTATATGATATTTCAGGATCTCAGATTAAGCACATCTGCTTCTGGAGGTCTTAAATTTGGTTGGAGAGCATATTGACATAAATATCACTAAGAAACTAAGGAATAACCAAAAGTAAGTCCAGAATACCATTGTGTAGAAACACAAACCAGAATAAGGTTACTTAAAATAAAATCCCAGACTATGACAATTCCCCAGAGCACTGCTAAATTATTTTCCACAAACTGGAAAGAATATGGCTCAGTCACAACTTTGCCTACAGAAGCCCATCCACCGAAACAAAATGAACGTCTTAGGAGTGCATTAGTCACAGAAGCAAACAATTTTGAAGAAGTTGGTGAGATCTGAAGCTGAGATAGGAGGTATGACACAACCACTGTTCAGATGCACAGAATCAGAGCTGAAAGAGACTACAAGGACCACACCATCCAATCCCCTGCCATGAAGGTACATTCAATTCAAGCACTCCTGACCGATGGCCATCTGGACTCTGCTTAGAGAAGAAGACTCCACCATGCTATGAGGCAGCATATTCCACTTTCAAAGAGTTCTTACTATCAGGAAGTTCTTCCTAATGTTTAGGTGGAATCCATCGCTTTGTGTCCTAGTCTCAAGCAGAAAACAAACTTGGACTCAATATGACATTCTTTCAATTTTTTAAACATGGCTACTATGTTCCCCTCAGCCTTCTTTTCTCCAAGCTAAATAAATATACCCAACTCCCTAAGCCCTCCTTATGGGGCCTGGCTTCCAGACTTTTGATCATTTTGGTCACCCTTCTCTAGACACATTTCACCTTGTCAATATCTTTCTTGCATTGTTGTGCCTAGAACTAGACATAACATTTCAGGTCTGAATACAGTGGGGCTATGACTTCCCTTAACCTAGACATATTACTCCTATTGAGGCAGTCTAGAACTGCGCTAGCTTTTTTAGCTGCTGCATCACACAGTTGACTCGCATTCAGCTTGCAGCCTAAGACCCCCTTTCACATGTATGGTTTTCAAGCCAGATATCACCCATCCTGTATCTGTCCATTTCATTTTATCTGAATTTAGCATGCAATCTTATATATCGCTGAGTTGTTGTTGTTGCTGCTGCTAGGTTCCTTCTAGTCATTTCCAACTGATGGAGATCCTAGGGTAGTGATGGAGAATCTTTTAGAGAGTGTGTCCAGCCAGTGTACTACGCTAAAAGCAATTTTTGGCTATTACCTGTCCAATGGTCAGGAATTCCCTAAGGAAGGCCTGCCCTAAGGGAAACCCACCACAGAGGGCTTGTCTTTGCTTTACTCTGAGGCTGAGAATGTGTGACTTACTCAAGGTCACCCAGTGGGATTCTGTGGTTGAGAGGGGATTTAAAACCTGATCTCCAGTCTCACAGTTCAATGCTGAAACCACTAGAGTTTGATGAGGTTTGTGGGCAGAGAAAGCCTTGTAGAATTACAATTCTATGACATCTTAGCAATTAAAGTGGTGTCACACCTCATTCATATGGCATTGCAAATAAACTTCAAGTCACAATTATGAGGTTTTTTTTTAAAGTAGAGGTGGAAAACTGTGTTCTTCTTCTTCCCAGGATGCATCTTCACAGCAGAGTTAATGCAATTTGACACCACTTTAACCATGGCTCAATACGATTGAATCCTGGGAGTTGTGGTCTTGCAAGGTCTTCTTTGCTAAAGAGTGCTACAAAACTATCTGACCACATCACCTCTTACCAATCTGCTTGATCATTTAGATCAGTGGTTCTCAACCTGGGGTCCCCAGATGTTTTTGGCCTTCAACTCCCAGAAATCCTAACAGCTGGTAAATTGGCAGGGATTTCTGGGAGTTGTAGGCCAAAAACACCTGGGGACCCCAGGTTGAGAACCACTGATTTAGATCTTCTTGAGAGAGTCTTCTCTCATTGCCACCGCCGTCACAAATATGGTTGGCGGCAATGAGAGAGGGCCTTCTCGGTAATTACCTTGATCCTTTGGAACTCTCTCGCCATTGAGATTAAAACTGCTCCTGCCCTGTTATTTTTCAAGAACCCGTTGGAAACCTACCTGTTCAAGCAAGCTTTTGATGAATGAATTCAATTGCTAATGACAGCAAGGTTGATTGTGAAAATATACTATTTAACTGATGAGTCTCTACAATAACTGTAATTGGTTAATATATATGCTTAATATATATTTCTATCTTATTTCTGGCCATTATTATGCTTTGTGTGATTTTTGTCTTGTATTTTATCTTAAATGTGATTTGCATTATATTATGTTGAGCCCCCAGTGGTGCAGCAGGTTAAATTGCTGAGCTGCTGAACTTGCTGACCAAAAGGTCGGCAATTCGAATCCATGGAGCGGGATGAGCTCCCCCTCTTAGCCCCAGCTTCTGCCAACCTAGCAGTTTGAAAGCATGCAAATGTGAGTAGATCAATAGGTACCGCTCCGGCAGGAAGGTAATGGCACTCCATACAGTCATGCCAACCACATGACCTTGGAGGCGTCTACAGTCAATGCTGGATCTTTGGCTTAGACATGGAGATGAGCATCACATCACAGAGTCGGACATGACTAGATTTAATGTCAGGGGAAAACTTTACCTACGCTGTGAGCCACTTTGGGTCCCATTAGGGAGAAAAGCAGGGTGGTGGCCCCTCGGCTATGGAATGCCCTACCCGTAGACATCAGGCAGGCCCCTTCGTTGCTGGAGTTCCGGAGGAAGGTCAAGACGTGGCTCTATGAACAAGCGTTCGGCCAACAATGCAACTGAACTCATGAAGACGGTATAAATGAACAAAGGAACGGTAGAAGGATTATGAGAACGGAATCTGATTTTTACTGAGGCGTTGATGACTATGTTGTGTTGTTTTGTATTGTCTGTTGTGTATGTTGTGTTTTAACTAATTGTTATTGTTATATAAATTGCATTGTAAACCGCATTGAGTCGCCGAATTAGGCTGAAAAATGCGGTATTAAAATAGAGCAAATAAATAAATAAATAAAAATAAAGATATATCATCATCATCTTCACTACCGAGTTAATGCAATTTGACATGTTAACTGCCATGGCTCAATGCGATCGCCCCTTCTGAGTCTCCCCCCAGACACATTACTCCATTTATTCATCTCACCCAGGGTTTTATAAATTTTACCCTTTGAATTTGGCCCGTCCACTGTGCTCTAATTTTTCTACCATTTTATTTTGCATTGTTTTATTGTATATTTTGTTATTGTTTTGCATTTTATTTTGATGTTATTATTTGCTTGTTTGTATTTTATTTTGCTTGATTGTAATTCTTGGGCTTGGCCACTTGTTAGCCACCCCGAGTCCCCTTTGGGGAGATGGTGGCAGGGTATAAATAAAGTTCATTATATTATTATTATTATTATTATTATTATTATTATTATTAGAAACACAACAAGATCACTCTGTTGGCTGTTGTATTGGATCACACGTCGGACACTTCCCAAGTGTCTAGGACTGTGTGATGTATTAGTGAACAATGCGTGCAGATCCCAGTAAGGTGGCCTTCTGCAGCTGGCAGATGGTAATTTTGTCAGCACCAATAGTATTTAAGTGCAGGCCAGGCAATTATCTCAGGCTCATCTTGTAAGTACAAAGGAGAGAGCCTTCTCCTCTGTGGCCCCCCGCCTCTGGAACTCATTGCCCAGTGAGATTAGAAATTTTCAAGAGGGAGCTCAAAACCTGGTTTTTCCAGATGCGCTTTTGGAGAGTAGTCATATTATCATACACAGTTGCTCCCCCTCAACGGTTTTTGTCCCCAGAGTATATTTTCCCACCTGTATGAAGGTCTATATTTATGACCCTGTTCCTTTATGAGTTTCTCCCCCACAAACAATCTGCTCCATCCCTTCTCATCCCTGGTTCTCAACCTTTCTCATGCCGCAACCCCTTAATACAGTTCCTCATGTGGTGGTGACCCCCAACCATAAAATTATTTTCCTTCCTACTTCATAACTGTCATTTTGCTGCTGTTATGAATCGTCATGTAAATATCTGATACACAGGATGTATTTTCATTCACTGGAAATTTGGCACAAATACCCAATACACCCAAATTTGAATACTGGTGGGTTGGGTGGTTGATTTTGTCATTTGGGAGTTGTAGTTGCTGGGATTTATAGTTCAACCTACAATCAAAGAATTGAACCACGCACTGGCACACAGAACTCCCATGACCACAGAAAATACTGGAAGGTTTGGTGGGCATTGACCTTGATTTGGAGTTGTAGTTCACCTACATCCAGAGAGCACTGGACTCAAACAATGAATGGATCTGGACCAAACTTGGCATGAATGCTCAATATGCCCAAATGTGAACACTGGTGGAGTTTGGGGAAAATAGACCTTGACATTTGGGAGTTGTAGTTGCTGGGATTTATAGTTCACCTACAATCAAAGAGCATTGTGAACTCCACCAATGATGGAATTGAACCAAACTTGGCACACAGAACTCCCGTGACCAACAGAAAATACTGGGTTTGGTGGGCATTGACCTTGAGTTTTGGAGTTGTAGTTCATCTACATCCAGAGAGCACTGTGGACTCAAAGAATGATAGATCTGGACCAAGCTTGGCACAAATACTCAATTTTCCCAAGTGTTGATACTGGTGGAATTTGGGGAAATAGACCTTGATTTGGGAGTTGTAGTTGCTGGGATTTATAGTTCACCTACAATCAAAGAGCATCTGAACCCCACCAATGAAATAATTGGGCCAAACTTCCCACATAGAACCACCATGACCAACAGAAAATACTGTGTTTTCTGGTGATCTTTAGTGACCCCTCCAGGGGTCCCGACCCCCAGGTTGAGAACCACTGTCTTAGGACCTCAGCAAACTATAACCCCTATGATTCCCTGGCAGTTAAAGAGATGTCAAACCGCACTCATTCTAGATACACCTTCATAGTTGTGTGAATCCCTTCCTCCTGAAACAGCACCTACCATTCGCAAGTGGTCAGACCCTGCTTAGCTTCCAAGACCTGATGGGATAAATATACTGCAATGGTCATAATAATGGGGTGCGGTCCCTTTAAGATACCGAGGCCCTAAAGATCAGGCGACTAAAGGCCGCTGGGAAGCCTCTAGTAGGACCTTCTTGGCGTTCCCAGTCAAGGCCAAATCCCTCGGCTGCCAAGGGAGCAGCAACCGCCAGGCCTGCCCCTTCCTCCGCGCAGGCCTCACCCACCTCTCCAGCTCTGCGTCTTCCGCCATGGCGGCGGTCGCGGGCTGAGGGGTCTCCGTTCACTCTCACTCTCTCTCGCTCGCTCTCTCAGGCCACCGCCATCATGGCTCTCTTTCTCGCTGCTTCCTGCGACGCAGCAGCCAATGGGAGGCGGAGCTCGCGACGAGGCCAAACAGCCGCTCGCGAGGACCCCGGAAAGGGGCGGGGCCTCCTGGCCGAAGAAGCCCCGCCCACAGCGCTGC